GCTTACAATATCCACCCGCTCCTCTTTCCTCCCCTTTCCTTTTATTCCCACCCCTCTTCTTGACTTTAATTCTCTGCGCATTCATTTTGCTTATTGTACTTATGTTACATGTTTTGTCCTGCCGATTGAAGAACAATACTGTGCGAAACTCTAAACAGTAAAAGCCAGCGGAGTGTCACAAAGAAAACATGAAAGCACCGGAAATTAGGCAAAGTAGGTGTCTCAAGTTCAGTGATAACATGGTGCCTTAGATAGCATAAGAACAAACATACAGGTGTGTAGCTTATGTTTTGTATGGCCCAGCATGGTTGCATCTAAACATTCAGCACATGGATATAGGGGGTGGCAGGGGGGCGTGCATGCATGTGTGTGTGGGTGTGTGTGTGTGAGAGGAGAGTTCAGACAGCAGTAGCTCTGGTAATCCATCCAGGCTCCCAGGGCAGCCAGCTCCTACTTCCTGATGCATGAGAAGCCGCTGGAGTGGAGTGGCAGCAACAACTGCTCAGCCCTATTTGATTACTAATAAGAGAGTTGTCCCCTCTGTCAGATACCGGGCATTCTCCGCTAAGCAAACAGTGATTCCGTCTAGTCAAACATTAGCATTGCTGTCTCTCCCCGCGACGTGGCGAGAGTTACATTGAGACGCGCACACACCTCCAGCCCTCCCCCTCCTCCTCTTCCTACTATGCCTCACCTTTTTATCTGCTTTTTATCTCTAAACACTGTCAGGTGAAACAAAAACGGGCCGCTTCAACCTGTCTTTTTAGGGAGTGATGGAGGCGCAGTAATGATAGCAGATGTAGGTAACTTCCCTAAAGCTGAACAACAAAGCAGCGGACATAAAACCCTCCTAAACTTAATGGCACCTCACTCACTGCTAACCTGAGAGAAGGAAACAGTCAATGAAAAACAACTATTGACAGTGTAAGCAGCGCGGCCGTAAACAAAGAAGGGAAGCCAGCCAAATGAATGTGAAGTTGCCTAAGCTAATTAGGAGTATTCCCAGCATGATCCTCCAGCGATTGAACCACCTGTGATTGAACAAACCCTATCCAGGTGGTGACCGCCCCTCAGTGCACAGGTACCTGGGAAAGACACCCCTGGAGCGCTCTCACACCTCACAGGTCCCACCCGCCGCGCAGCAGGGTGCCTTAAGGTGCTCTGAGGTGCTTTTATAGGTGCATCTGCTCTCAGCCACATCCACTCGCTCACTCCCACCAGAGGAAGACTGGCCTTACCTGTCGATGATCACAGGGTCTGAGGGGGTCTCGTTCCTGTTTCCGCAGCTCTTCTTGTCGCAGCACCGACTAGGAGACAGACAGTGCATTAGAGTCAAGCCAAAGCTTTGCTAAATAAATCAAATAAATAAATAATGCACACAAACCACATGTATTTATTAAGTGCCTCACAGTGGTTCTGATATCGAGGAAAAAGTATATCGCCCAGAGATTTCCTTCACTCAATCTCACCATAGCATTGATGCTGATGGCTGATAAAAATGGTGAAAACAACATGTTGTGTTGTTTGGCTTAGCGTTGGAGGGGAGGGGAGTGGGGATTGGGCCAGGAGGCAGGGGAGTCACTTTTCACAGCTTCAGCTTTTGTTTACCTCTAATTGCCAAGCTGCTATTTCTGAGGGAGATGCAAGGTGCCACCCTCAACCAATATTTCTGCGGGGCATTTATCAATTATGGCCTCAAAAGCACTAATCTATCTTACACCACATGTTCCAGCCATCTCCAGCCTGAGCCTATAGCAAGCTGCTTTTCACTTCTTTGATTAGAAGCTGCAAAAATAAACAAATACATCATGTGCAGCTTCCAGTGGTAATGAAAACATATAAACATATGTGAATCGGACTGATTTATGCCATATGGTGTTGTGAGAAAAACAACAAGATTTTGGTGCTACGCTACTGCCAGTCAAGCACACTATTTAAATAAATCTGATTTACATTCCTTTCCAGGGTAATAATAAAGATTTATTTTCTGAGCGAGGCTTGAAAAAAAATACATGGAGCAAAAATTTTCAAAGACTACACAGAGCTAAAATAAAACACTGTGAATGATAAGGTGAGATATGAAAGGTGTATTATGGCAGCACTTGTTATTAGACTGATCTTCTTATGTATATTAGGCAGCAGTTAAAGCAGTTCATTATGGTGCAGAAAAAGCCACTTCCAGGTGACGTATAAATATTACCTCCGGAGCAGGAGCATATTCGGCATGTCAGAAATAAGTGATGGATGCATGTATAAATTGAGCGTGAGTGATGAGTTTATGCATGGAAAAAGACAAATGATCGGAGCTGGGTGCACTTGCTCTCCGGCAGTATAAGTTGAACAATGCAGCGGTGCAACAAAGGAGAGGTTAACCGACAGTATCCAAATTCAATGTTCACAAAGCCCATGCTGAGCTCAACAATAACAACAAAAGACGTTTTTCCTTTTCGTATCAATGACACCGCTGAATAGCAAGGAAATATGAGAGCTTGAGATTTATGTGGTTAAATGACGCTAAAAGGCTCGCTGATCATTGTTGACAGGTGGGATCAACCAAGAACTGACTCTGTGTTAGCAGTGAGAAAAAAAAAAATCATGCAAGCACTGTCTACGCATAACTTAACAGCAGGCATATTGTCAGTGGCAGGCTTACAGCACGCATGCATGTAGTCACCCATTTAAAAAGTACATTTATGATGCAAATATACAAATCAGCTTGGGCTCAAACTTAAAACGGTGGAAAGTGTCTCTCTGTAAGACTTAAGTGATCGTGGTGTATTTTTCACTGTCACGTTCAAAGCAGAGCATCATTCTCACATCAGAGCGAGATCAGATCATATCAAAGTTTCAGATGTCAGTAGCAGAACAGGAAGTCAAGCCTTTTTAAATGGCTGCATCGCATCACCATGTCAAAACTTATTGAGAGAAGGGAATTATGTGCTTACAACTACAAACACACACACTAAAATAAATATATAATAATTATGAATAAATGCTTACCTGCACATAATTTCATGGGTAAGAAGGACTCGGCACATTTCTGGATTTTTATCTTGTCCTTCATAAACTATGGCCTTTGAGAGAAAACGACACAAGAATTCACAATTAATTTCAATCACCGACCTGCTTCTTTTGCACTTAATAAAACAAATCAGAGCATGATGTCAGGACAGCCAAATAAATTAAAGGAGTGCAGAGGCTAAGCAAGAATTATTGTCAGCTAATCACGGCAATTCCCCAGTGTTTAAAATTATAATAATTAATACACATTTTAAATTATAAAATGTAATATTTGCAGAAATTAAATCTCCGCTATTAAAATATTTTAACAACATTTTCGTGGCTGTGGCAATAAAAGTGTAATTATAAAAAAAATAATACATGCTGAATTCATTTGTATTTCTTTTTTAATCTGCTGTTATTAGGTGGCTCAGACAGAAGAGGAAGGAAGAGAGGGGGAGAGGATTTTCATAAGGACAGATCCAATAGAAGTGTCATCAATATGCTTATAATCTGGGGATATTTGGGGGAAAGTGTTAATGGGCAATCTGTTGTTTATTTTGAGCCGCTAACAATGATCTTTCTGTGGATAAAAAGCGGTGTCTGGCGGTACGGTTGAGTAATTTTTGAGCATTGGCTGAAACAGATGGCGTGGAGCTATCAGTTGTGCCGCTCCTCTCCCTCCCTCCTGCTCCTTCTATTTCTGAGGAGAGCCACTTTACTCTCTCCGCGCTGAACCGGCACCAAGTGGAAACACAACCACGATATTGAATAAATACACTTTAATCGCCACGGCTCTTGTTTGAATTATTACGCGGCGCATTTGAGCTTTATAAAACCACGGTATTTTCCGGAATTACGCTTGAGGCCAATTTCAGAACGATTCAAAAAATAATAAAAACAGTGACATCAGAACTCGCCTCGTGTGCTCCTGAACGCATGTCCTACTTGACCTGACAAATGCCTGCCCCTCTATTTTTCCCCGGCCGATTATCTATATTGGTTTGATTTATGTGACGATTTGCAGCTGTAGAAACAGAAATCCATAAATTGCTTGTTCTGCGTCATTGACTCTGATCATTCGCGCAGGAATGCTGTCTGCAAACCGGTGGCCCTGTTTGTACGGCTCTATCCCGCGACCCTGTGCCTTAAATCTGCGCGCGTAAAAACATGCCAGCACGTGGACAGCTCCAGCGCCCGCCGCCACCTCGTTTTATTTCCTTAATTATAATTACGCACGGTGACCTGTGCGTCGCCCCATAGCGCACGGGAAGACCTCTATAATGGCGACGTGAGCTGCAGGTTAAAAGTCACTCAGTTGTGTGTGTTTCACCCCGCTTAGAGGATGAGTGGAAAGAGTTGCCGTTTCTAAAGATGGGATCGCTCGTATGTAAATGTGGGAATGAGTTTGGGCCGTCACCTTTGACTCCTCGCAGCAAAGTCAAATCAGATCATATGGAGCAGACGTACTGTTGAAAATTTAATGCTGGACAAACCGAGCCTACAAAGAAGCCCAAGTGTGTCAGGCTAAAATTCACTTTGCAACACGATATGGCCACGCGTAAACACTCCAAAGAGAAGCTGTCTCCTCTTGTTATTGCACTAATTTAATTTTATTGGGGCCACATGCAGACAATTTACCCCACGTTTTATTTCACATAAATATTGAATTATAAGTGTTTCATCTTATACAATATTCAAGCCTCAAAAATAAAAGTTAATTTACAAAAATAAGCCGTGCGTAAAATGATAAAGCATAAACACGTGGAATCAAAGCTTACCTGCTTCGTCATGGAATCGATTAGCCGTATGTAAAGATCTTGTTCTGTTCTGACGCCTGCGTGGGCAGAAAAATAAAAATAAAGGTCAATAGCAGGCCTTTCAAAACACAAAATAAAACAACAAATAACCAAAAAAATATACATAGAGAAATTAGAAACTTAAAACGTATAACCTCAGAAATAAAATGTTGAATTTTTTTTTTTTCAATATTAGCAAAAGTGATGAATGAAAATTAACTTAACACCATTATTATTATTATTATTATTATTATTATTATTATTATTATTATTATTATTATCATCATTATTATTATTATTTTATTATTATTATTATATTGTTTTTTAGTTTAAAATATTATTTGACTTTACTTACCATTGCTGTACAATAACTGTAGTTTGTAATGAATCCCATTGTTTGTTTTTTCACTGGTTGGTTCCTGGGCAAGAGACAGGGTTTTAATACAAAGTAGTAGTGTCACAAATAACTTTAATATGTGTTGTGAAAAACACTCTTAAAGTCCAGACGCTTTGCAACGACTGTCTGTCATGGAGCAATTGAGTTTTTAAACAAATCAATATTACACGTGACTAGTCCGGTAAAACCTTTTAGAGCGGCGTAATTTGGACACATGTGCCTGATTGTGTTGTGAAAAGAGGATGCTTACTTTTTCCTTCTCCACAAAGTCCACAAAAGCTGTCCTTTCGATCTCCACGGGCTGACCCTGTCTGTCATACAGCGCCAGGACGAAATGGAAAAAATTGGATTTTCTGAGGTTGGATGGAGGCTGCTTTTCATAATGTGCCCGTGCCAAGCCGACACCGCTGCGGGGAGGAAGAGAGACAAGAAGAGGGAGAAAGAGGAGAGCACGTCGGTTAAGCAGCGGACACCTCGGGGAGACACGGGATGATGGGATGGAGGGAGAAGTGGATGGAAAACATTTGGGCTTTGAGATTTCTTGATTTGTCACAATAATGCGGTGTAATGAAAGACGGGCAAAGGGAGCCGAAGGGGGGGCACTTATTGGGTAATTGATACAGAGTATTCAGGGGATTGAGGGGTCGATATGATGAGGCATGGGAAGGGAGATGAGTTTTTTGGCAATGCGTTACCTTTGGGCGGCTGTGTTCGCGTCCACCACCCCAGCTGTGTGCATCCATGAGCGGACTGAGTTCAGTCCACCCAGCGGTTCCTCCTTCATCGTCGTCCCGCCTCGCGGTATAGTTTCCTGAATCCCAAACATTTAGGACAATTTTTAAAAAAGCGAGCCTCCTGTGAAATTAAACGAAGGAAATTAAAAAGCGTCCAAGTTATCCTTCGGGGTCTCGGGATAGAGAGCAAACCCGGTCCACAGGTCTTGCCTCCCTCTTCAGTCCGTCCGATGTGAACAATTCTCAAAGTGCACTACTTAGTTAGAGCCGTATCCACACGCTGGAAAAAAGTGTTCAAGAAGAGACAAGATTTTGTTGTTGTCTTGCTATTGTTCCTCTTTGTTTTTGGTGCTATTCACAGAAAAATCGATGTGAGTTGTTTGTGTTGGTGGGTGATGCTGCTCTCAAAGTGCCCACATCCCTGAAGCACCCGCATCCAAAACCTTCAGGACTTCTTCTTCTTCTTCTAGTTGTAAATGAAAAAACCCACTCCTGCAGAACACGGTGCTGCTGCTGCTGCCGCCTGCTCGCTGCTTCTCCGTAAGACAAACACACGGGCGAAGGCTGATCACCAGTGGAGGTGTTCCTCGTACACAGGAGAGCTGGATAAGGGGCCCTTGCGCGTCGTGCACGATGGATGGGAACATGCAAAACTAAGCCCTCTTTCCCCGAGGACTGAAATCTTTCCCGGGAGCCAAAACTCTAAACCCACGGGAGAGGCGCTGTCAGAGTGTGACGCGGCAGGAGGCGGGGTTTTGACCAAATATGGAGCTGTGACGCTTCCTGTCAGAGCAGCGGCAGGCAGGCGGCGGGCGCTCTCCACTCGTCCAAGCAAGCCCGACAGCACTCTCGCTACTTTTGCCTCATGCTTAGGCCCCAGCCGCGGTGAGTTGGACTTTTTTAATTGAACGGGGCGTAACATCACACATAATAAACTAATACAGACAAATAATAATAATAATAGCCTCTTAATATGTCTTGTTTTAGTGGACTTAATGAAAGCAAACCGAGTGATTTATTGCGTTTTATTAAAGAGGAATCGTAGTAATTGATATATTTATTAACTTTAATTTGATTCTGATTACTACAAATTGATTTGAGGATATAATTTATTCAGTTATGTGTCGGGAGCATCTCTATAGCTGTGTGAATACAGTCCATAAATCATTTCACAAAGACAGATCAAGTTTCTCATTCATTCTTTTACGCTTCTTTAATTGCGTGTTATTCAGCTTGGATGGAATGTAATTAATTGCATATTTTTATTTATTACTTTAACAGATTAATATGAGTATATTTTGTATTAGATGTATTGGTATTATTATTATTATTATATTTTCTTAAATTCATAGAGTCGCTCACTATAATACTCCACATAATTATGCGCGTAAGTGTCCATCGTGTGCGCAATTGGATTTTTGTGCCAGGACAAATCAATGTCATGGCTTTGAGTGGTTGAGGTCACTTTTTGGACAGTTTTAATTTTTTTATTATCTTTTTAGAGCACAGTCATCTTTTATTGTCTCATTAAAGCAACTAAAGGAAAACATGGTAGTGTGTCTTTTTTATTCTGATGTGAAATCTGATTATTCCAGTGTATTTTCAAAGCACTGTCCGGTTCATTAGTGGTGAAAGGAGGAGAGGATGGACAAGAGGAGGGGCGCGGGGAAGAGAGATGTGCTGGATCCATTGCCATCTATCTGCTGCAGCTGAGGGTTAATAGCTGCTGCCAAAGATAAGTGAATTATAAGCTGTTGCTTTCACCTCGACGCGATCTCGTTCTAAATTGCCCAATCAGAAAATGAAGCTGTGGATTTTTTATATAAATTTTGAATATTTTATTGAAATTATATATTTTTTTAATTTTTGTATTAAGTGCGTCCTTGTTTCATTACATGTGAGACAAAATATGCGCACGTGTTTTGTCTGTTGCTATAAGATTGCAAATAGTTTTTGCAGTTTTTTGCGCACATTTCAAGTCGCTTATTAGAAGTTAACCCGTGATTACACGCGCCAAGGCGATTTAAATCTGATTATCAAATTAGGAGACTTTGAGACAAATCCTCTTAGATCTGATACCGTTGACTGGAGAGGGAGAATGGGTCTCCGCTGCAGCCGTCACGTAGGTAACGATGCTGTCCTGAAAGGGACTTTTAAACCGTATTTGACAACAAATGCAGCTGCCCCGCTATTTCAGAAGATATTAGAGAGGAAAATGAATGCAAATCTGTGTGCAGGAGCCATCTGGACGTGGAGAGAGGGAGTCAGCTGCTGCACACACTGAGGCGCGGAGCCTGAATCCGTCTCAGCTCATTCTGTGGGATCATCTGTGCGCTGGGCTTACACCGTGGAAAATGCGCTCTCCATCATTAGGTGAAATAAAGGGTTTGTTTTAGGCGGCCGCATTAACGCGTCTTATACAGGCAGTTTGAAGGGAGGTAAGTGACGGCTGACTGTACAGTGATCTTTGGACTTAGTTATGTTCAAGCCGCTGCAATGACACGGAGCTCTTATCTCATACTTTCTATTGACTTGCCACAAAAGAGCGAACCCCCATAGAGCCAGTCCTGACCACTGAGAGAAAACCAAAGCGTAGGGGACGCGCGTGGCTCCCAATAAAATGCCCACGCGGTGACTTGGAAGACCTCCCGTCTAGCCGGGACGAGCCTGCTCCGTATTGAGGGTGACGTCTTCTTTTTTGTGTGAATTTACGGGGCGAGGCCCTCATGATCTCCACAAATTTGCATGTAAATGGCGACATCAGCCTATACGCGTGCCAGGGGCCAGCGGGCCTCCCAGATGTCAAGGCAAAGTCAATCAGGCGGCCGCTGGCCAGCTGTCCATCCGCGCACTTTACTGGGACAACACTTTGATTAGGCGCTCACCTGCATTGTGCTTTAATGAGCTGATTGGAAAAGAAAAAGCAGAAGTGTTATCAGCAAACATAACAAGACTCTTAGCGCAGAGCGTGTTTTAAAATGAGCCCTTTTCTATTAAATATTAATCAAACGCCTACAGTTACGCGTCATTCCAAATCCATATGCCACAAACAGACAGCAGCCCACGCTGTGTTTACTGCACATTGTTTGTTCCATTGTTTAGACCCACTTTTGTTCAGAGGGATGACATTTTCTGTTGTCACCAGGCCCCATTTATTTTTTATATATTTTGCAGGTGCTCATAAAATGGCTGCATTAATATTTGCAGGCTTTATTTAAATAATTGCATCACTTGTGGATTTCTTCCAATATATTTAACTCGTCCGTTTATGACTTCACAATACAAAATGAAATGTATAGGGCTACATTTAAATTGTTTATTAAATTGTCAAATATTAAAATGGACTTTATTGGATTGAATTTGCATTGGAACTTAGTTTGGGCTTATAAGGCCCGCAAAGCGCGCCAAGGGAATTCCTCGTGGCACATATATAAATCTCCCATTAAAACGCGCTCGCGCTTATTGTTAATAACAAGAGTAAAAACACAAATGGCCGTGAGTGATGAGATCAATCACTCGGGCTTTTGGTGTCAAGTGGTAATAGCTGATAGACGGACAGCGCCCCTCGTTGGTTACACTTGAGATCATTGTGTCGATAGGAGGCAAGAGCAGTGCGCGCTCCCAACACATTTCCACACAGCTTTGGGCTTAGCCACGTGCACGACCGCGGCCAAAAAAGGCCTATAGTATACTGTGTGCGTCTGTGTACGTGTTTACATCACTTTTCAACTGTAGCATTCATATTTATGGACTCCGTAATTAGAAATAAGAAAACTGAAATACAGAATGACAAATTACAAATGGTGTATCATGCGTATAAGGCAGTTTATATTATTATTATTATTATTATTATTATTATTATTATTATTATTATTATTATTATTATTGACTTGGTTTGACCCCAATCAAAGTGTGTCTATATGAGGGTGTGCGTCTAATAAACAGGAGCAGCCCCTGACATCGCCGCGTGACCTCACATTTCGTCACTAACTTCTGTCAGAGCGCTCGTGTTAATTGTGTGCAGTGGTGAGTTGCTGTCAAGGGCATTGCCCGTGCGCGCACAATTTGCATTTCCATTCTGCTGTGGAAATGATGAGAAGAGTTTCTGCGCGGTTTAGAGCCTCGCGGCGCAAGTCTGTGGGCGAATTACATTTAAAGAAGGCGAGAGAAATTAAATAAGAAACCGAGACCACTTCAGGGCTATTAACATCTAAAATATCCCCTGGAAATTTAGACCAAAATACACATGACCAAATACCCAGGGCGCCAGCGCTCTCGCAGCCACGTCTTCAATTGTGTCCATCAATGTTTTGTGAACCTTTCTGAAATTATTTTCTGAAAAGTTATTACGCCGTCACTCATTTTGCTGATGGAAATTTGAATGCAGCCCTGACTGGCCCATATTTACTCTTTAATATAAGTGTCAGGTGCCAAATCAGACTTAGAGGTCTATTAAAAATCTCATCAGTAAGTATGATATGGGCACGTGTTGCGTCGTGGCCTTAAAAACGGGATGCATCAGCTTTAACCTTGGCGTTTTTTCTTGCCATGTGTGCGCCAGCCTTTGCCACAGCACTCAGGAGAACTCATTCCACCGCTGACCTCTCTGATTGAGGCGCTGCCAGCCACACACTCACCTGCGAGAGTCCACATCAAACGCTATATGATTTTTACCTCAAAAGGACGAATCTGTGGCTTATGGAGTATACCAGCAACACACGGGGCAGAATCTCCATATTGGGTTGCTGCTACTATTAACAGAAATGTTAATTATGATGTCAAGACAGAGGCAGAGTCAAGGTGAAAGTAGCACAGCAATAGCTAAAAATATTCTTTGCCATCCCCAGTACAATGTGAACCTGCCTAGGAGTGTTACTGGCAAGGGACCTCTTCGCTTCAAACAAAGAGGTGGAAGTAGAGAAGTAAATGAATTAGACTACACAAGCCAAATTCTGTCACTTGTTTCATTCATGCTTGCCCTGTCCTTATTTTTTTATTTTTTTGTTTTGTTTTGTTTTATCTTTTCAAACCTCTCTCTCTTTCAAGCTATCGGAAGTGCAGCAAATTGTATAATGACGCTCTTTGTTCTTACAGCCACTTGAATGAATAGCCATCGCGCGTACACACACACACACATTCACAAAAAAGAAGGAAAAAAAAAAAAAAAAAACACTGACAAACTGATCATCTTAAAAAAGCAACGCCCTGGTGCTCTACTTGGCCTACTTTCCACAGCAGCACTGGGACGTGGCGAGCAATAGAATTCAGGGGAGGATGTTCTACCACTCTGGGAAACATTGAGTATGGCAATAGTGTGATGCACATAAACATAGCCTGTGCATTGTCAACCTTAGACCACGTTTGCCCCAGATAACTAGTCCCCATGTGCTCCACCATTCTCTTTGACTTTGCAATTGAAATCCGGGTAAGATTATGCCAAAGCTAAAAAGAGGCAAACTCCAGGGTGGGATTTTCAATTGTCAATTCCTGTTGGATTTAATAGCATTATGACATATAGTGCGCCATCTGTGGGGTTTCCTGTTACTAGGTTTGCACAATGGGACAGTCTATTTGCAGAGAACATCATTGCAGCCACTAATTTTGAATAGGGTTGTCAAAATGATCAATACTCAGATACTAATCGATACTAAA